TGGCGCAGTGCCTCGTCTCTCAGGCACAGTCTCAGGAGTATGTCTTCAGCCTCCAGGCGAGGAACAAGTGGCACCAGGAAAACGTTGCCGTGGGAGCTCTCTTGTCGTCGCCGAGGACAATCTTCCGCCGCAGCAGAGGATGATCGGGCGTGTCGTGGCAGTACACGTCGGTGCTGATGGCAAGGTTTGAGTGGCGGACTTGAATACCAAGGATGGCACGTACCGGAGAGCGTGGCTGCCTGTGGTGTGCTGAAGACGGCGGTCCTTCAGAGGGGGCGGTGTTTGCGCACCTTGCGCGTTTTATTTTTTGAAATTTGTTGTAGAGTTAATTATAGTATAACTTACCCTTTGTGCTAATATTTATTTAAGCGTTGATCAGCCAACCTAATGGCTATAAAACGCATGGAAATAACAAAGGAAAAAATAACATGAAACACAACAGAAATAAGGAAGTTAACAAATTTATAACAGTGACAGTTCTTCATTATTGTTTTAAGACACGGCAGGGTGCCGACGCTTCAGTCTTCTTCTCGTTGTAGTTGCGTTTGCCAGGGAGGCTGCTAGATGGTTGGTGTGGGCTAGTAGACGGTCGTTGTAACGGCTTGAGTGCATGTTGATCTGCTCTCGCACCGTGGGGATGTGAAGATCGCAAGCTAGGACCTCGTTCCTTACGTACCGAGGCGCATCCGTAATCGTACGTAGCGCCCGGTTTTGCACTCTTTGGACCCTCATGGCATTTGAGTCTGTAGCGGTGCCCCATATTTGTATGCAATAAGTGAATGAAGGAACCACTATCGACCTGTACAGCAGCAACTTGTTGCTAGGGCTGAGCTCACTTGTACCTTTAAGCATCCAATTTAGTTTCCGTAGTTCAACACGACATGTTGCTGTAATCTTAGTTATGTGCTGCTTCCACGAAAGACGTTTGTCCAAAATCAATCCCAAATACTGAGCCTGGGCTGATTGCGGTATGACTGTGTCCTGGAATTTCACTGTGTGGAGAATTTTACTTCTAAGAGAGAAGTTGCACTGCTGGGACTTATTTCCGTTATCGAAATATTCCATCGATTCGTCCATTCGCCACACAAATCCAAATAGTTTTGTGTGGTTTGAGTCGCATTAATTCGACACATGGAGTTGGCAATAAAGGCTGTATCATCAGCATATATAGAAAAGAGGGTACCCAGTTCCCTAGGGTATTACAGGTCAGCGGTAAACCTGACCAAGAATGCTACCCCGAGGTACGCCAGCTCGAATGCATCAGACAGACGATATTTCGCCTCTCACATCGACCATAAAATTTTGTTCTAAGAGATACGATTTCAGGAGAAGATATTGGGCAGTAGGCAGGAGAGTTATCAACTTAAATAGCAAGCCATCGTGCCAAACGCGGTCAAAAGCTTCTTTGGCGTCAAGAAAGACTGCTGAACTGTACTGCTTGTTTTCGAACGCTCCAAGGATGTGCTGCGTTACCCGATGTGCTTGCTCTGGGGTTCCATGGTGTCTTTTAAAGCCGAACTGGTGGTCTGGAATGGCGTCCTGCACACTTCTTACTGCCATCATTATACTAAGGAATGTTCTTTCGAATATTTTAGAGAAGGTGGGCAGTAGACTTATTGGTCGGTAGGATGCAACAAGGCTTTCCTGTTTTTTCTGGCTTAGATATCATCGATATCACAGCACACTTTCACTGTGTGGGAAAATGTAGGATACGTAACATGGCGTTGAAAATAGTATACCCTTCCTAGAAAACGCCTTTGGCAATTCTGCTGCCGATCCCGTCGAATCCGGGGATTTACTGCGTTGCAGCTGGCGAATTTGAAGACAGTCCTCTTCCGGACTCACATGTGGGATAGGTTCAATGGCCGAGGAGGGGGCATTTAGGAATGCTAGGGTATTATCCACGTCGTCAGGCCTAGCAAGATTGAATAGCTGAAAGCGTCCTTCCAATTCCTCAGCAAAGGCCATCGAAATTTCGCTGTCTGATCTGCACCACGTGTTGTCGGCACGCTTTATTGGAATTCGGCGAGGGGGTGTCGTTTAATATTCCTTGTTGCCCTCCAGAGATTGAATCCCTACGGCTTTGTAGAATCAGCAATGAGGAGCATATCAGCAAAACATTCACTCTTCGTTCTAATCAAAGTTTCTTAAGATCGTCCTCAGCTCGTTTCTTTTTTCAGCAGGGTCTCGAGGACGCATAAATCTGCGACGCAATATCCTTTTCAGCCTCACCAAATACAAGACCTCCTCCTACAAGCCCTCCGAAAGCAAGAACCTGCACATGAGATTTGAGTATAATATCCGCTAGAGTTCTGCCCCTAATTGTAGAGTTACGTGATCCCAGAGACGATGATGCGCATTCGATTCCCCTGCAATTATAAAATTTGACCCAAGCTCACTAAGAAGCTCTTCGTAGTGGTTAGCTGTGAGAGGTGAATTTGGAGGACAATATATAGACGCAACGACTATTTCCCCTTGGTCAGTTTTGACTTTGATCGCAGCACACTGAGCCGTTTGGTGTTTTAGCTGATAGTATGATGTAGAGCGGAAATGATTTTCGCTGACCAACATAACGCCGATATGATGTTCTTTTACAAAAGCTCCATCTCGAGTGACTTGTTGGTCAAGCCGTCGGCGTTCCACACACCGACTCTATATCCAATTTGACTCATGGTTGGGCTGTAACGGCTGCATGTGCAGATCCTGGCGCTATTTGGAATAAAAGGTTGGTTATAAGGGATATCATTGACATCATCATCTAAAGCATTTTGTAAAACCAAGCACCAAGGTCAGAAAATTGTTCTTCAGCTCGTAGATACATTTGATCTTGTCGTTTCCATTGCTGATCGTTTTGGAATTTCTCGCGATTTCGTTGATGTTGGCTGATGGCGGGTCTCTGGGTATTGTTGTTGGTCTTTCGTCTGTATGGTTTGTGTCCGTAACCGTGGGAGGTCATTTGGTTTATGTTGCTGGTTAGGCCTCCTATTGCTTGTTCAAAGTGGAGGGAATTGGTTTGGTCACCCTGTTGATTTTGGTGACGAGAATGACCATTGGTGACTTTTGCGTATGACAGAGCTCCCACGACATTCGATCGAACAGTCGTCCTTTTTGAAAAGGTCTTTTGGGGAAAAGTGTTACCCTGGAATAAAAGATTTTTTCGGTGTCTTACTATCTGCTGGTAGGCAATACAACCCTTGTAATTTGCTGTGTGATTTTCACCACGATTAACACATTTAACAGGAAGAATATCTCGTTTGCAGGCCTCTATGGCATGTTTCCGACCACATCTCACACAGTTATGATCCAGAAAACAGTTGATTTTTGTATAGTGGAAATCCTGGAAACGATGGCATTGTACGAGTTCATCCTTTTTGTAGGGTAATTGCTCAAGTTCAACAAACACTAGGTTGACGATCTTTGTTTTGTCGAATCGGCTTTTTGGTCTATTAATGAAACGAACCATATGGCCAAGCAAGGTAAGGCTTTCCTTAACGTGTTTGTCCGGAGTGGAGTGATGAACACCTCGAATAACCAAGCGATAAGATCAGATCTTTAAGATGCCATGAGTGGAAAGGGACCTATTTTGCAGTCAAATATTTACTGATTGCTCTATACGCGTCTGAATCTGCAGCAAGGATCGAAACGGAATTATTGGAATGACATTTTACGAAGTATTTAGACGGATGTACGATTTTATCTATGCAACGAATAAGCCCGCTCAGATTATTGTTGTCGATTACAATCGGCGGTGGCTTGTGATTGGGTGGGTGTTTATTAGTAGCATTATCGGTACTGTTGCTGTTGGATTGACTGCTGTTGCGTTCGACGTTGTTTTTGTTACTGGAGCTGCCGTGGTTTAAGCCTGTGCTGGTACTGACCTGATCAGGGTTGTTAACCAACTGGCTGACTGATTGGTAAGATTGTAAATATTCTTCGGTTGTGTCCATGTTCGAAAGCTCAGCAAATCGGTTGGCGGACTCAGTTCTTTAGAGACTAGTGGAATTTCTCTGCATTTTATTAAGAGAATTGGGAGATCTGGATTGTGGACGGCGTTTGTTCCTTGAGGTCCACCAGTCTTCATCGTCGCCGGTTATGGCTTCTCGCTCGGGTTCAATGTCATGGGATGGTAAAGGCTGGGCGTTGATGGAGCTGGCTTTATAAATGCTACTAAACTTTTGTAATGAGGAATTTAGAGCATTAGTCATAGTATGTTTCGCCATAACCACCTTTGAATAGATGTCGAATTCGGATCGGAGTCTGACATTGTAGGCGTATTGGATGCTGTGAACTGCTTTGTACTGCTTTACTGACTTCCAGTACACAAACCCACTAAGAGTAGGTTCCACAAAAGCAGTCGTAGCCTAGTGGGCAAGGTGCGCACCTTGCAGCCGGGAGGCACCGGGTTCAATACGGGAAACGGATGTTTGTATTTTATAAATTGTATTTTTTATTAAGCTTGTGATTGAACTTGAATTCGAAGTAGCGGTGATTTGCCAGATCAACAAATTGCAACTGTTACCTTTTGATCTCTGTTTCACTTGTTTTCGCGATTCACCAGAGCTAATGGAGAGTCTGAGCACTGTCACTGCAGCTCTAGCTGCCGGACTTACAAAAACAAATTGATTTGCCACGAAGGTGGACTTGTCCATAGAATCTTCACAAAGAATTTCGCAGCAATGCAAAAACGCGTCTGCACTCCACGAGAGCATGATCATGACTCATCACTTACCCAACTTAAACTTATCAACGCACTTGTAAACTTAAATTGGCCCACGCACTTATTAAAAAACTCTTGACGCCGAAAGAATGAGCGAAGCCTTTCCATTTACTCCTTTTCTCGATTTTTGTTTTATTTTGCTTTTCTAAGGCGTATTAGCGAGAAGAGAGAAAAACGAAAGATCGAGATTGGAATCTGCGAGCGCCGATTAAAGGAAGAGAACTTTAGTTGACATGTCACCCAACCACGCGCTTATATATTAAGAAAGTGCAGTTCTAAAAAATAATATAAAATAATCCTTTATTTGTATTCTTCAGGTGCCGGAGTAAATTTCGACTGCATCCAGTTCATTGACAAAGAGAAATAAAAAGAGGCGATAATCGGGCTGATGATTGTGTAATAAAGATAAATCAGCTGTAAGAATATAATATATATAGTTATAAGAATTTTGTAATAAATGTACTAAGAATTTTCAAAATGAATAAAATGAAAGTGAATATAAAAATTTGTAATTTTTACAAAAAAACAAGAAAGAACGCTATAGTCGAGTTCCTCGACTATTAGATACCCGTTACTCAGCTTAAGGGACCAAAGGGAAATTGAGATAAGCAAGCAGCAAAACGAGATTAAAATGCGACACCTACCGGCGGTAAACAGATTTAAGCGTTATGGGCGTTAGAGTCAACCATGAAAATTGTGGGCGTCACAGGTTTGGGCTGTTTGTGGGCGAAAAAGTGGGCGTGGCATAATTTTTTTTGGGTCAATCGATAGGTATTGATGAGTTAAAATTTCAAATCTAGCATCAAAACTGTAGGAGCCACAGTTTTGGACGGTTTGTGGGCGTTACAGTGGGCGTGGCACTCTGCTGAAATAAGCTTGCGCGCGTAGGAAGCTCAGGCATTTGCACGCCAAATCTCAATAGCCCAGCTCTTATAGTTTCCGAGATCTCAGCGTTCGTCCGGACAGACAGACGGACAGATCGGAAACGCTACCTTCTGCCTGTTACATACTTTCCGACGAATCTAGTATACCTTTTTACTCTACAAGTAACGGGTATAATTAATCGAGGATCGAGAGTGGGCTATGGTAGAAATCAAGAAGAAAGTGTTCTTGAAATCAAACCAGATTCATATTTAAATCAAGCAGAAATCGTTCTTAAAAACAAGCAAAGTTTCGTCTCGACAAAATATATATTTTACTATTATCAAGAACGATTTACTCTTGGAAGCGAGAGCGCCTATGCATGAAATTGAGAGCGCTTGTTCTTGAATTCGGAAATTCATCTCCTCGAAATCGAGACAACTTATATTCAAAAAAAATTTCTCAAGCCAGAGCAGTTCTTCTTGATTTTATTAAAAGCGCGCTCGTCAAATTATTGAGCACGGAAATACTGATTTCAAAACTTATGAGAACGTCTTTTTTCTCGGTGTAAGTGGTCCAAATTTGCAAACATGTACTCACTTTTGCTTCCCACTGTAAAAAATAAAAAAACTTTTTTTTGTAAAATAATTTCAGAGAAGGAAGAACGCTATAGTCGAGTGCCTCGACTATCAGATACCTGTTACTCAGCTAAAGGGACCAAAGGGAGATGGAAATATGCAAGCAGCAAAGCGAGATTGTAATAATCACTAGCCATGTTCTTGGACGTTGATGCACTATGGTCAGTACAAACAAGTGGCCCTTACGACACCAAGCAATGCTTGTTACGCGCGGAGACCTAAACCGATTTGGGAAAGTAAACGAAATCGCGGACATTGAAAAAGACGACATAACAATAGACAGTTTAAAATACATGCTCACATAGAATGGCTAGTAACATAGAAATTTACAAGTTATTGGAAGATAGAAAATACATAAGTTTATCATAATTAGTTGCATTAGGGCTATCAAACAGTAAGACGTGACACAGTGCATTATAGTCGTCACAAAGAACCCGAAAAGGATCATGAAGGACATAATTGGATCTACAAGTTGGCAGGGACAACGGACGAAAACGACAAACTGTTCTACAGGGTACATTCCAGTTGAGGGAACTAAGAAGGAAGGGAGAGTCAACATCACCATTAATTAATTTATGCAAAAACATAACTCCATGACACTTTCTACGATGGTTCAGGGTTGGTAAGTCCAGCAGGCGCGATCTCGCATGATAAGAGGGCAATCGACTTCCTGTATCCCAGCTTAAGCCTCTCAAAGCAAATAAACAGCTAATTTGAGGTGACCATATACACGAGCAATATTCCATTGACGGCCGAACAAGAGAAACATACAAAAGCTTTGTTGTGTATGGATCATCAAACTCCCTTGACCAGCGCTTCATAAACGCCAGGAGACTTCTGGCTTTGTTAGTTATAGTAGATATATGGTCTTTAAAACTAAGTTTATGATCAAATAGAAAGCCAAGATCCTGAACAGAAAAAATACGTTCAAGGGCGTTATTTCCGATAGAATAAGAGTACAGAGATGGATTACTACGATAAAAGGTCATAAAGTTACATTTAGAATAGTTCAAATTCAACATGTTAATCATGCACGACGTATACAAACAATCAAGATCTAATTGAAGGTCATTATATGAATTAGGTAAACACATGGACAAACATAGCTTGACATCATCTGCATACATTAAAACAGTTGACGATTTTATAACATAAGGTAGATCATTAATCATTAAGCCAAAAAGTAAAGGTCCCAGGTGGCTACCCTGTGGCACTCCAGAAGTAACATTCATTATTTTGGAAATTTTATTATTAAAACAGACCATTTGAGTTCTATTAGAAAGGTAGGAAAGTATCCACTCTAGTAGGTTGGGTGGAAAACCTAAAAGGGACAATTTATAAATAAGAATCCTATGGTTCACTGAATCAAAAGCTTTAGAAAAGTCGGTATAAATCACATCAGTTTGATGATGTGTCAAAAAACCTCTAGTAATTAAAGACGTAAATTCAAGTAGGTTTGTAGAAGTAAAGCGACATCTAGTGAAGCCATGCTGACAAGGTGAAATAACAGACCTGCAATGATGCTGAAACTGACAGGTAATAATTTTTTCAAAAAGTTTAGGAATAGAACTGAGTTTAGCAGTACCGCGATAGTTTGAGATATCGGACTTGTTCCCTTTTTTAAACAATGGTATAATAAAGGATTCCTTCCATATGGATGGAAATCTACATTGACTTAGGGACAGATTAAATATCAATGTTAAGGGAGGGGCAAGATAAGATGAACAATTCCTAAGTATACAACTTGGTATTCTATCAGGACCCGGTGAAAATGAGAGCTTGAGAGTATTAAGACTCCGAAGAACATTAGATACATCAATCACTGGTTTGAAGATAGAGTTCAAATGAGGTAGTGCGTATGGATAATCTTTATTAATGACATTATTGCATTTCGTATAAGTGGATTGAAAAAAGTCTGAGAATAAGTTGCAAATATCATTATTATCAGATGCTACATTATAATTGAGAAAGAGAGAGGGAGGGAAGCAGCTAGATTTTCGTTTAGAATTGACGAAAGAAAAGAAAAGCTTAGGATTACTTTTGAAATCACGCTTACAACGGGACAGGTAATTTTTGTAACAATCAGAATTGTACTGGACAAATTCCACCTTAGCTGAACTATACTTGGTGAAGTCTGTCTGTAAGCCGGATATTTTGAACCGTTTAAATAGTCTTGTTTTTTATTCTTCAATAAGATAGTTGACGGGTAAACCATGGAGAGCTGTAAGAATTCTTCATGGAGGAAAGAGGGACATGTTCATGAAATAGACGGTAAAGGATCTCATAAAAGTACCTAACTGCATCATCAACAGGAAGGTCAACGAGAAAGGACCAGCTTACTGTCGATAAAGATTCCACTAGTCTGCCGTAATCAGTCCTCTTAAAACACAAACTAGGCTGTACATTTATTGCAGTCCTAGGATTATTAAAAAAACCATTAATACAAAGCTGAAGGGTAGGATGATAACAATCTTCAGGTAAAGATAGTGGCGAAATACGACTGACTTCAGCATCGCTACTATCAAAAACAAATATTAAGTCAAGAAGACGACCAATATGATTGGGAATCCTGTTAACTTGCTGCAAAGATAGTTCAACAAGACCATCAATAAAATCATTTTGCATCCTAGGAATCATTTTCAATGAGTCCTTACTCTCCAACCAAGATATATTGGGAAGATTAAAGTCACCAAGCACAATAAGTTGGTCAGTTTCAGTAAGCAACAAGGAGATAGAATGTATAGCGGACAGGTGCAGTAGATACACGTTAAATTCAGAGCCAGGAGATATATACGAGCAGGTTAAAAAAATGTTTCCTTTTGGGAAAGATAATTTTACGGAAATAAATTCAATACCTGATGATTCAGAAATATCAACAAACTCAGAAGTTAAATTGGATTTGACTCCAATAAGAACGCCTCCTCCTCGACGGCTCTGACGATCCTTCCGATAAACAAAAAAGTTATTAGACAAAATCTCACTATCGTGTACGGATGGGTTAAGCCAGGTCTCAGTGAGTACAATAACATTGGCCTCAAAAATTGAACTATTTATATAAAGCGTAGAGAGTTTACTAAGAAGCCCCCGAACATTCTGATAGTGAATTAGGAAATTTAGTTTTTTGAATTTATATCAGAGCTGGGCGCCGACAAGCTATTTTTTTTATATACTCGTGGACAATTATATCAGCAGGCCAAAAATTGGGGCAAAGAAGTTTAGAGAACAGCCCATCCGGAACAATTATTAGATCTAGTGCGATCAGCAATTTGGGCAGCACTATGCCCAAAGTCTGCACATTTTGCGTGCGCAATGTTCTCACATAACCAGCAACTAACAATTGGCTGCCGAGAAGTGATTTTACCAACAAATTGGCAACCAACAACACAGCAGGCAGATTTTGTTTACAAGTTGAGGTCAGTTAAATGTAGAATGTAGAAAAAGTAGGAAGCTTTAGATGAGTGCCAATAAACAGCTGTGTGGCTTTGCAAATCGCAGAGGAAAGATAAGAAAAGAGAGCGGTAAGACCAATTCGAAAATGAGAGCCGGTGACTGAAGTTGGGAAAATGTAGGAGAGCGAACGGTGCGAGAGAGCGCCAAAACAACAATGTAAATAAGAAACAACAACAATGCACAAAGCACCCGCGTCTTTAACTATTATCCAATAAAATAATAAAGATAATGGTTTTAACATAAATAACTAATTTGCATGCAAACGGCGGCCTCAACCGAGTTGAAAATGAAACTTTGGGAATATATCAGATCGGTAATTTAGACACTAGGCGAATAAATGTAGGAGCAAATATAAAACGCGTCCGTGTACAACAGAGACCGAATTCCGAATGATCCACCTACCCGCGATCTTAATATATGGTTATGTGGGCAGCGGACAGGTTTAAGCGTTATGGGCGTTAGAATGGGCGTATGGGTCAATCAAAAGGTATTGACAAGACTAATACACTTCAGCAAAAAAAATTGTTATAGCATACAAATTTTGGGCGTGGCACATTCGCGTAACAAACGTTCGCTGCATACAAGTCTCCGGAATCTAGATTTGACATTTAAGTTCTCTATCTTTGATAGTTTCCGAGATATCCGCGTTCATACTTACGATATTTTAAGGTTTGTGGGCGGCTTGTTGGCGTTAAAGTGGGCGTGGCATCCTTTTATTAGGTCAATCGTTACACATTAATGAGAACAGTACTTCCCAGTTCAATTTTTTATTCTAGCATCAAAACTGTAGGAGCCACAGTTTTGGGCGGTTGGCGAGCGTTAGAGTGGGAGTGGCACACTGACGAAACAAACTTGCGCTGCGCAGGAATCTTTAGAATCTGCATGCGTAATCCCAGTATTGCAGCTTTTATAGTTTCTGAGATCATAGCGTTCATACGGACAGACGGACATAGCTAGATCGACTCGGCTAGTGATCCTGATCAAGAATATATATACTTGTTGGATGCGCTGTTTCTGCCTGTTACATATTTTCCGACGAATCTAGTATATCCTTTTAATCTACGAGTAACGGGTATAACTATTGACACGGCTGGAATCTTTAATGCTCTTTACTTTTCAACTTTGCCGCAGATTGTACTTACTTTAAATCTATCTTTCGACCAATGCTATTCGATGTTTTCATTTTTTAAAATTGTGCTGTTTGTGGTTAACTATTATTTTCAAACAAATCTAAGTGATAGTTTGCGATTTCATTTTCTATAAAAATGTTAAGGTCACGGGAGTTATCATTCTTAATTTTATGCACAGATGTATTAACATTTTGTTTTTTATATCGCAGTCCAACTCTGAAAAGAAACAGATAGGAACAGCATACTCGTGGAACAGGACAGTAGCTTACATTCTTATAGAGGGTATGTCAGGAGAGCTTCTCATTTTATCGGAGGTCTTTGCTCTTAAGTAGCGATGCTTGATATCAACACCAGAGTGTGCGTCCTAAAAAATAAGAAGATCTTAAAAGCTTTCAGATGATAACACTGTTTTGGAGTGTACCGCAGTTAGGATTTTAAAATCTGAAAGTACTCATGAACACAAGTTAAATTATATTTGGAGTGAGCTCGCGTTTTTATATTATTGCTTATGATAATCACAGTATTGAAAGAAGTTTATAATTGTACTTTTCTATAAGCTTACCTTCAATACTGTTGTGGGCAATTTGAGCGGGCTCAAAAAATATTGCCCTCTTAAATCCAGCTTTGCACGAAAACTTTAAGTCCAAATATAATGTTCAAAGGAGAGCTAACCCAGACAAACCCCAAATAATGGTGGACGCCAAACTGCGGTTACATTTTTAGTGTTCCACTGTGTAACTGAAATGATTTACTCACATCTCTCATGTTATAGGTTATAACCAAGTTGTTGACGAAGCTTTCAAGAAATTCGGGATAAGCATCCAGTACGTCCAGCAAGTCGTCTCTGTGCAACTTATGAATATCGCAATATGTCAGTGCTCTTACCACTCCGTTAGATTTTCCAAGCGTTGGATATATACACGGATTTTCGCCGAAGATATCGTTTTTCCCTGAAGCAAACCAAATGTTTTATTATTTCTTTTTTGTTTGTATAAAACTGCAAAAGTAACCAACCCAATACAACAATTATATTGCCACCTTTTTGAATTTCTATTGAGCCTCTGGCTATAAAAAATAATGAGGTAAGGACATCTCCTCTATGGACTAGGATATCACCAGGCGGCGCATGGGTAGTTTTAAATTTAAGGGAGAAAGCTCTGCAATTAACATTTAAGTTAACTTAAAGTTATCTAGTTATATTTAAACTTACCTTAGGCAACCAGGACTTGCATCCGAAAAAGCCGCACACGTTGTCAGTAACTTTCTGTTCAAATGAAGGCAAATATCTGCTTGTAGGCACTCGGGAAAACCTTTAAGCAACGAGCTCATATCTATCCCATTCGTATCTTAAAAATTCAAAAAATAACAATAAGTACGGAAATAGATTAAAATTATTACAGGTCCATGCGTGTTGGAAATATTCTTCTAGTCTTTGCCTTAGCGGATTTGGTATCTGTAAGGAAAGGACGAGGTAATGTCTGCAATGTATTATTCGCTTTGTAATACTAATACCTGGTGGAATCGAATAAACTCCCGAACACGTAACATTTGAGTATGATATCTTGCCGTTCCAGAGTAAAGCCTTGGTATTAGTAATAATAATAGTTATAATAACTAATAATTGTACCGTATTAGTATTATACCTTTGAATTATGGCCGATACATTTCCAAAAATACTTGCATACATAAGAGCTTAAAAAATTAAAAAATTATTATATATCTAGATGTTATTGCAGTACAGATTTCTCCTACATCCAACAAGCATTACGCAAATAGTGAAAGCTTTTTCAGCATCAGTATTTGGTGCCACATTTCCAAATCCAACGGACGTGAGCGAGGTAAATGTAAAATATAAGGCTGTGATATACCGCGACTGCAAAAGTATAAATTTTTAGGTTATGGGCTTTAGTTAACTGTAATTAAACTTTACCTTTATAGAGGGTCCACCAGTTCGGTTATCAAAATAAGGTTCTTGAATATCATAGGCTAACGAATTTAGCCAACCGATGTTTTTCGCGGTGATAGATTTTTCGGCATTTCCAATTGCGTACCTGATATTGAGTTAAGAAATTTTAGTAACAAATACATATGTTATCTGTTTCATTTACCATATGCAGGCCAACCAATGGGCAATCAAAATAAAGGTAGCCATTAATAAAATAAGAACGGCAGCTCCATATTCCGAATAACGGTCTATTTTTCGGGCTACTCGAACTAGTCTCAAAAGACGCGCTGTTTTTAAAAGTCCTATTAATGTAGTTGTCTAGAATAACGAGTAGATACACAAAAAAGTTAATTAAATGTAAATTTCATGTTTTAGGCACTGATACTATAAGAAGAATAAGAAATAAGCTGATAAAAGAACAACAATTAGGTTATAAGCCTGAACAAGAAAGGACGCTAGCATCGGCAAGCCGATGTTTCTATACCTTTTCAGGTCGTTACTGTTTTTAGATAACTAAAAAAAACTTAAAAAAAAAAACTACTAAAAACTAATTACAGAATTTTAAAGGTAATGTTCCATTTCAAGTAACTACTGAATATGTTTACCGAAAACAAAATATAACGGCATTTGTATTATTTTGACATTAATTATTCGATTGTTCGCACGGCAGCTATACAATAAAGTCGAAATTCGGAAGTATTAAAAGAGTGTTGTGTTAATTTTTTTACAAAATTTTTTTTAAACATTCCTACGGGATATAGTTATCAGATCCGCCCCGTTATACTACCTACAATAGAAATAAGACTTTTGGGAAGGAAACCTTCCCGACAGCTTTTAAACTAAGAGACTAGCTTGCGTAGAAATGGACAGACGGACATGGCTTTATCGACTCGTCTAGTGATGCTGATTAAAAGTGTGAAACGTCTTCTTCACTGCGTTGCAAACTTCTGACTGAAATCATTATACTCTCTGCAGGCGTATAAAAACCAGGTCGTTGGTCAATCCAAGTTAGAGATATAATGTATTTTTGTATAACATGACTCCGCAAGCAAATGACTTGCTTAGTTTAAGATTTAAGCGTTATGGGCGTTAGAGTGGACTAATACACTTCATTTAAAATTAGCATGAAACCTGTGGGCGCTACAGGTTTGGGCGGCTTGTGAGCGCTAGAGTGGGAGAAAAAGTGTGCGTAACAAACTTGCGCTGCGTACAAGTCTCTCGGAAATTAGTTTCCGAGATATCTGCGTTGTTTGTGAGCGTTAACTTTTTTTATTGGTAGGTATTGATAAGAACAATACATTTTAGTTAAAATTTTTTATATTTTTTATTTTAGCATTAAAACTGTGGGAGCCACTGTTTTGAGCGGCTTCTGGGCGTTATAGTGGTGGTTGCACACTTACGAAACAAACTTGCCTGCGCAAAAAGATCAGGAATGTACATGCCAAATCCCAACTTTCTAGCTTTTGTAGTTTCCGAGAACTCAACGTTCATACGGACGGACAGACGAACAGACGGACAGACGGACATGGCTAGATCGACTCGGCTAGTGATTCTGATCAAGAATATATGTATATACTTTATGGGGTGGGAAACGCTTTCTTCTACCTGTTACATACTTTCCGACGAATCTAGTATACCCTTTTACTCCACGAGTAACGGCTATAATTAGCGCCGGAACAACATGGCTAGATAGACCCGGCTAGTGATCCTGATAAAGAATATATATACTATGGAGGGTCGGAAACGCTTCCTTTTACCTGTAACATACTTTTCGAAAAATCTAGTATACCCTTTTACTCTACGAGTAACGGGTAAAATACCTTATGGATTGTAAGGCATAGCTTTACTCTTTAAGACAAAAACGGATCGGATCCCATGATCGGCTGAGCATAAATTTTAAATGCCCATTACTGGATGTCGGTAAAATTTTGTTTAAAAACTGTGGGAGTAGTTCGAATTTCAAATCAAAATTGTTCTTATCTTGAAAAGGTCTGGAAGTTTTGTTAGCGCCGTATTTCACGAAATACTTTTTTAGTGCACCCCTTCTGTGTTACACGACTTAAGCCCAATTTTTCACATAATTACAGGTATTGGGATTAGGGGGAAACTTAGATTCTTTAGTAGTAATTAGGATAATTTACAGCTAAGAGTAATTAGAGCTCACCTCATCGGTATCACTACCGACTAGTAGCAAATCGAAAGGAACCGCTGCCACAAGATCGATTAAAAACCAACCGCTTAAGTAGTGAACAGCTATACGTCCAGGATGGGATACCTATAATATAGGACGCTTAAAGATTTTTGTTTTTTATTTTGGGTTCTCAACAGTACCACTTCATCCTGTGCGTTGACAAAGGTGGTTCGAAAGTTAATCAAGATATCGACGATGAAAGTAACATCCACTACAAAATGGTATTAATAACGTAACCCACCAAACACTCCAATGCTTACCAATTAAATCAATTATAACAATTGGGTCAGAGTTAATGTATTTGTTATTTCTTCTCTGATAATCCTGCTCCCCAAGCAAAAATGCCGCCACATACGGTGTGAAAATGGCCGTGTACATCACCAGAATTAATATCACCCAATCCCACACAGCTTTAAAAGGCGAATAATGTAGTAGAGTCCACTTATGGTAGTAGTTGTTCTGTAATTTCTGGTCTAGAAGTATGTTTCCTCCCAGAGAAGTAATCTTTTGAAAAAATGCTATTAAATAAATTAACAATAAAATAGATTTCGTGGCTTAGACTTACCA